TGCAGATAAGATAAGGGTTCTCCCTTATCACTTAAAGGGACTTCTAATCCAAATATAATTTGGATCAGCAGCTCCTAATAGGATTAGGAGCTGATCCTTTTAAATCTATAAAAGGATGAGGGGGCGGTAGCCTTTAGACATGTAACCTAAGATTCTTGTCTTCAGAGTTGAAATCACAGAAGAGAGATTTTTGCAACCTCTGCAAAATCTCTCTTGTCGCCTCCTTCCTGCTGCCGCCATACCTTCAGTTCGATCTCCAGTTCTTGGGAGAAATCAAGATCTGATCTTGATACCAATCTTTTGGGAAAAGATTGATTGGAGCTGTACTCACCAGCCATCCAGTTGATTCTTGCAAAGGGTCAAGTTCTTTTGAAGAACATTGCTGATTCTGCTCCATCCTGCACTGCGCCATTTTCAGTGGGAGCAGTCTTTGGATCATTCCTTGGGCGTGAACACCTCCATTGAGAGATACTAATTCTCCGTATCTGGTTTGGTTCATGATTCAAGATTGATCATTGAAAAATATTTTTTAAAATAGGGAATTCGATTCCCTGCAAAGATGGGAGAAATTTTTGAAATTCGCCCAGTCCATTCCGCAAGACTTGGGCGTCCATGTGATGGATATCCCATCCCTTCAACCTTAGTGAAAGTTTCAGGAGTACTCCTGATTAGACTCCTGCTTGTACTTCATTTTTCTTTTCATGTTGTAAAATTTGTGACCATAAACGTATGAAATTGGTAAAAAAATGAACCCAAAAAAGTGAAGTACCATAGGTCTTCAGGCATTATTTCAGAGGCTAGAAATCTGGCATCTGAAGCAAAGACCTTTTTTTGAAGATAATAAAAAAGAAAATTTATTAAAAGAGAAAGAGATTACAAGATAGGTGATAAGGTATACCCACAAGAAAGAAAAAAGAAAAACAACTCCCAAATCCACCACCCTCCTCTAGACTTTTTTGCTGCTCTCTCTCCAAAACCCAAAGCACAAAAAGTGAAGACCTCATTCAACTGGGGATAGAAACCACCAATTTCTCAGCACATAGCTTAGCTAGAGAAGTGAGAACAATATTGTATATGGCATATCTCCCAAACAGAAAAAAAAGTATATTTAATAGATGCTTATGGTTTTCAGATCTACATTTGCTTCTTTTTGTAATGCAGTCAGTTTTTCTTGAAAGGTTAAATCAGCCTTCCATTTTGATCTGGTTACTGATCAAAAAATAAAAATAGAGAACCCAATATGAGTCCTACTGACATATATTAATAAAAGGATTACTGTGTTTTTATAGAGAGTGGAAATTGAAAAACCATAAGTCATGAAGGGCAGTATCTGTAGACAATTGATTTTTTTTTTTTTGAAAAAAGGGTAAAGTATGATTGTATTAATATAAGGTCCCGTATACAATGAGAAGCTGTACAAAATGAAGGACCTCAAAAAAAGGGTAAAGTATGATTATAGACAACTGAATTTTACAAAGCCTATCTGAACTATTTAGACACAACTACTCAAAAACTGTATTTCCCCATTCTTTTCTTTCCCTTTTATCCATTCCACCATCAGCAAATCATTTATAAAAAGCCTTCAAATGTTAGAGATTTAGTTAAAAATTTAAAATTAGCAAGTTAAGGGTATCAACTATTGAGAATAATAGTAAACAAGACTTAGAATCATGGTAACATAGTATAAACATATCAAAAGGATATATTTACCTGTATCCATGTCCTGGATAACAGGAAATAGAGGGTCATCAACCTCATCATAATCTTGGAGAAGAAGAATCCATCCCCCACTCATGATTACATTGTTCATTTACTTTGGGCTTATGGTCAACATTTGCACTGTTATACAAGAAAACTGGTTGCTTCCCAAGGACATCTCAATGCTGATACCCTCTTCACCTACGAGGGGTTTAAGTTGATCAGGAACCATTTATTGAAAGTTCTTGCCTTTTGTGTTGTGCTGGTGTGTTTAGAAGGAAAATAACTCTCAAATCTTTGAAGAAAATGGATCAATTGACAATTATCAGCATCCTCATTGGAAAGATTGAAAGAATGCTGGTTTGTTGGACCTTTGACAGTGAGAAAGTTTGAAGGCTTCTCTATTATCGTTTCAAGTGCCCATGGGAGGATATCTTGTTTAACTCTTTCTTTTAATGTATAGAGCATATACATTACCAATGTAGAGAATGTCTCTATTTAACTTTCCCCTTTAGGATGTAGTTATATAATCTTATACCATTTATCATACAATTGCAAACGTGGAAGCACGAAGATAAAACACAAAAAAAAACCAACAATTTCCATATTCTTTAACTGACGGAAATTTCATAATTTTTGGGTAATTTGGATATTAGTATTTTTTTGAGTTCTTCAAATTTATCTTGTTGGTGTCTTAGGAATAAAGTTCTTCCAATCTTCTTGAAATTTACTATTCTTAAGTGAAAATGAAGTTACTATTTATAGTAACTTTTGGACTTCATAGTAATTCATATTTACCATCTATAGTAATTTCTTTGTTGCTACATATAGTAAAATTGTGACTTACTAATTTTAGTAATTTTTTGTTTCTTACATTAAGTTAGTTCTAGTAAAATTAGTAGAGAAGCTAGAGCTATAAAGATGCCCTAGTTTGAATAGGAAGTTTCTATTGAAGTCTAATTGTCTAAATACAAGTAGGAAGTTGCTGTTTAAGTGTCTTACTGGTCTATAAAAGAGCGCTTACAGGTCTTGTAAAGAGTAAAGACAATATTTTATTCTGTTTTGTTTTCTAATTTCTTCTGCAAAGATCTGAATAAAAAGTTCTGTCTGTTTCTACCATTGCCAGTAGTTATAATAGGATTTATTCTTGCTTCATCTTCTATTTTCTCTTAGTTGCTACTTGCTTGTTGATACTAGTTGCTGAAGCCACAAGTATATTGAACTTTGTAACTTGGAAAACTTACATTGAACTGTATTTAGTAGATTTTCTTTGATGCTGTATGTGGGTGATGCTTTGTCACCTGCTAGGAGGTATGCTACTTTCTTTTATTTTACCATAAAAAAAAAAAAAAAACTTGTGGCTGAAGCCTACTGTTGCATGCTTTAGCCAAACAGGGGGTTTCCAGGGAAGACCTTTTTTGTGCTACTTTGTAAACTATTAGTAATCTGGAATTTGTACTTAACTAGCCCAGAGAGGTTGCAACTCATGCCTCTACTCGGGGACTTTGTACTATTGTCTATTGCTCATTAATAAACTTATTTCAATCATCAAAAAAAAAAAAAAGCCTACTGTTGCATGTGGGAAGTTTTCTACTTTAATTTATCAAGAAAAAAATTCCTCATAATTCTTTAGAAGCTGCCTACCCTCAGTTTTGAACAGGACTCCTTACTAGAGCAGTATTTTTACCATTGCAGTCACCAATGATGGTATCTACACTTGATTCTTCATTTTGGGATGATATCCACAGAATTAAAAAAAATGGAACTCATAAAAATGTGGAGAGGTATCTTACATTCTCTTTGGAAGTGGGGGAAATATTATAGCATTCTTGAAGAAACATATAGATGAGCAGCAAAAAATGGAAGAAGAAACAGAAAAAACTGTTTCGGTCAAGCAGGCTATTTGAGTGTCACCTGATCTCATTTCAGGAGTAAACTTGTATTACCTTTTTCTGCTTTCAACTTCTATTGCATTTACAGACAGTGAAATTCCTAGGTTATCTAGATCTCCATCTCTACTAACAAGCATCCCCCCCAGGGTTAAAAAATGTATTAGCAAGTAGTAGTTCAATAATGTAACCACCATTAATACAGTAGATCACAGCTAATGTCCAGTAACAGTACTCGTGTATTTTTATTCTAAATCTTCCCTCTCTAACAAGGTCAGAAAATTCATGCTTATATGGGTAAGGATGATTCTCAACTTCTGATACTTTCACAAGTTTCTAGGGAACTAAATATGATGTATGATGCTACCAAAACGTTCCATCATAATATGAGATAGATAACACTTATCAGGCTAGCAATGGTGATGGAAGCCGGTTTTTCATGAATACTAAGATCAGCCAACAGCTTGGCAGATCCTCTAGCCAAGCAAGGGGTGAGCAGGACTCAATTATTTTGGGAACAAATGTAATGTAAATAGCACTTGGAGGGGGAAGGCAAACTCTGTAATTCTCTTGGGGATGTTTGGCATGCTTTATATCATTTTTTTAATCATAAGATCTAATGAAGTTCACAGTTATCATTTTTTTAATCATAGCACTTGGAGAATGTTCTACCAATGTATAGTCGTTTACCAGTATTTCATAAGCTTTATGATGCCAAGAATTTGATAGCACACTGTTTTTTTTTTTGGATAAATGGATAGCACACTGTTGACATTCTTGCGAATCCTTGATAGAGAGAAACTACCAATTTAAGTTCTGGTTTTATATATCCTTCACATAGAAATCACCACTACTGACTTTCTGGCTTTTCCAATAAAAAGAATATCCAACATAAAATGCAGAGCCATTGATATGTTCATAACAGGTCTTAGTGTCAGTACAAAATGAAGAGCCAGATGTTGCAAACATAATAATAATAACAATACATGGTAAAAATGGAACCAAGCCATGTAATGAGAACTCAGGGATGAAAAATGTTGGCATATGTGAGGGAAATGCCTTGTTAAGGGCAAGCATATGTAACACTGAACTGGCATCCAATGGACATCAAATACAGGATTATTGTATCCGAAACTATATTGCCTACTGATTTTTTTTACAAATATTACCTTTTGGGGGAATCGACTTTTTCTTTCGGGGTATCATTAGTTTCACCTGTCAAAAGCTTGCTAATCTCAGCGGCACGAGCTGCTGCCTGTTCAGCAGCTGCTTTGATGCTCATTGCATGTGCAACAGCCTGTTGCTTTGCTGCTAGTTGCCGATTCAGTAGTGACTGCTGAAAGTAGTACTGCTGCAAAGCTATAGCATAATTGACACCGGGAACACCAACTCCAGGAAATGGGGGAGTTGTCATGCTGACTCCCGACAAAGATTGGCTCGACATGTTCATTGATTGAGAAACGGGCTTTGTTGTGGAATCATGCGTATCACTAGTCATTGTTAATGCCAATTATCTGAGACGCATCTGCAATTTTGTGTTTTCTTTTCAACCCCTTTAGCTGTAATTCACCATGAAATAAAATATAGAGGCAAACACAAAAAGAATGAGAAAACCAATGTAAAATCAAGTAAAGTTATGCTAGCATCAGCTAAATTCCTAAAAGTATTTAGAGATAAACAAAAATGAAGCACATGGAGAATAATAATAATGGCTGCATTTTTCCGTGAAATGGACATAACATTTTTCCAACTGAAGTATTAACAGTGAAAACCTAGCTTTCCACCCTTTCTAATTTGATTTGGTATAAATGGCAATTGACAATGAAAACAAAGTTTCCATCGTAAGATGAGAAAAAATATAGCTCAAATTTTTCAGCCTGAAAATTCTTCCACCGTTTTACATCGATAATTTGCACTATTACATTCTTCCAAAATCCAAACAACCAGACCCTAAAGGCAACGGGAACTTATAAAAAGGAATTCCATGTCAAGTAGATATAATATCCAATCAAAGAATACATGAAGAGACCAATAAAAGCGAAAAAGAAAAAGAGATGTTGCAATTGAAACGGAAAAAAAAAAGTCTCAATCTAGGATATATTCATTTAATCCACTCGTGAGCAAAGGTTTGATTCAGTGAACTTCTCTGAATTCTATGAGAAAAAATGGCAAATTTCGTTACAAATTCTGGTTAATTTTATGTTAGAAAAGTTAAAAAACAAATAAACAAACACACGAGAACACGAGTAGAAAGGGTATGAATAGAACCTCAGTTGCTTCAGTTCAGAGCTCCGAACGAGGCGGTAAAGTCGTAAGGTAGGATAGCGTGGAAAATTATAGAAATAGACGTCCGATGGCCGATGCCAGCTGTGGACCTGTGGTCATCTCGGAATACCTATCTTACCCTTCTGTTTTCATTTAATGACAATACTGCTACATTACCTTTTTCTCCATTTGCCGGTTCGCGGTTGCCACTATACGTCATTGCTCGCATCATTTCATCGTTGGTGAAGAATTTCTCGTCTTCTCGATATTATTGTCAAGAAAGACGTGAAATCTGTAAACTGGTTAGTCTTGTTTATAGAACAGATCTAATCGGATTTGATGGTGCGAGATCTGATTACAAATACTTGGAGGGTGATTTGAACTCCAATTGGATGGCGAGTTGGATTAATCTGTAAAACAGTGGATCAGATAACTCGGGGTAGTTAATCTGGTGAGGTCACTTCGATGATTAAGTTAGTACTTATGCTATAAATGTGAACTGAATGCTTGAGAGCTTAAGTGCTAGTGAGTAAAGTAATCACGCGTACATTTGCATTGAGGTTTCATGTTTTTATATACTGGAATATTCGTGGGCTTTACGAAAGAGCTCCGGGATCTCCGGGCTATGGAGATAAGGTTTGTTTCATTTTTGAAGGAGAGTAGTGTGTTGATAAGGTTTATCGTCTTCTTCCAGTTCAGGCGGAGTCGGACGAGTTCTTATCGTGATCTCGGGAAATTCGGGATTTGTTGGCTCATCATGATCTCGAGAGATTCAGGATCCATTGGGAGAGGCCTTTGGAGTCGGTTATGTAGTGTTTCGGCTCATTAGCTCCGAGTTGGAACTTCGATTCTTTAGTCCCGAATTGGATTGAAATTTCGATTCTTTAGTCCCGAACTAGATTGGGTGTCGAGGTGCCTCTACACCGAGGTGGGTTTTGGGCCGAGGTGGTTGAATGCCCGAACTCCGAATGTTAAGAATTGAGCTTGCCTGGCTGAGTTGCCATCCTTCGATCAGACTGCGCCTACGTGTCCCCTTCTTGCTAGGTTACGCCAAATCACCCCTCATCAATTGCCCCCCACTCCTCGTGCCAGGGGTCATAACCTAATGCGGGGAGCTCATGAAGAGTCTAGGTGGATTTGGCGCGAGGTCTAGTCAAATTGGAAGGCGAACCATTGGTCGGGCCTGCTCAACCATCTGGCTCAACCACGAAATGACCCAGGTCGCGTCTCGGGTACGCGCAAACGTCACACTATTTATAGATTGCGCGGACGCCAAAACACGCGTTAAACCGATTTCAACCTCGGGGGACGTGCAACCGATTTCCTTAGGAGTCGTAGGATCATGTTGATCTTGACCGTTGATTCCCGGATGCACTGGCCATAAATAGGGGCCAAAGGGGTTCATTTTCCTCGCCACAAGTCCGCAAATCAGCAATCTTTGAGGTCGCGCCCAAGTCTTCTTGTTCGATATCAGCCTTTTCTGGGTTTGAGGTTGCCTTCTTTTCTTCGGTCTTCCTCTTGGTGAGCCCCCCTTCCTTTGCCTTTTCCTTTTGATTCTGCTGTCTTTTTCCTTGAGTATGCCTAGCCTTAGCTTAGATAGTCTTCTAGACGGGAGCGGTGAGTCCGCTAGGGCCGATGTGGGTACCTCGGCTCAGGCCGTGGATCCCCGTCCTACCGAGGTGGTCACTTCGGGACAAGACACAGTCTTCAGTCTGCTCGGGATGGACTCACCTCGGCGAGAGCGAGAGACCTCTGGTAACTCGGCTTCCACCTCACACCAGGGTCGATTGCCAGATAACTTCGGCCCGTCGATAATAACGGCGGACAGGCTCCTAGCTTTAGTAGCCTGGTACAAACTCCCTAACGACCTTGTATATAGCATCCCCTTAGGCAACTTTCCTTGGGATCATGATCACAACGAGATCGTGTTCTTCGAGGAGCAACTCATAGTTGGTCTGCGTCTTCCACTTCACCCCCTTATAATCGAGATCGTTAAATTTTTTAACATTACCATAGATCAGCTGCACCCGAACTCTATCTGCAACATCGTAGGGACCATTTCTCTTTTCCACGATTACAACCTTCCCCTTGACCTCGACGTCTTTTCTTCAATTCTTTCTATTAAAAAAATCCGTCATGTGTTCTGCCTAGACCTATTCATGGGCCGGGTGGCCCGACGGGCCGGCCCGGCCTGGCCCGACTCCTGGACGGGCTTGAACAGGCTTTTTGGCCCGCGGGCTTAACCTCGGGCCAAAAAGCCCGGCCCGCATAAAATTCGAGCCGGGCTCGGGCTTTGCCAAAATAGCCCGGCCCGGCCTGACCTATAGTTAAACCTAAGTAAACCCGGCCCGACCTATAGTTAAACCTAAGTAAAAACC